ATCAACGTACATAAGTTGTTCATCACCCCCCCGTTATTTTGCTGCAGCCAGACTGTGGAAATAATCAATGACACATTACCTAAGGGCAAATATATACAGAATAAGGACCAGAAAACATTTTTTTGAGGATTACATAAACCTCAGCTTATCCTATATTATGCATGTGATGTCCAATAGATAATTATATATAACATATTTGAGCGTGTTTAGTTATATTTACTATAAACTTTCAGTGATAATAATAAAATACATTAAAGAAATAAAATAAAATGGGACATTTGTTAAAAAAATAATAACAGTGGAAAGATAATAGTTTCTGGTTCCTTTTATTTAACTGTAATTTAATAGTCTTCTGAGAAACTCTTTCCTGCATTTTTATTATCTGTATAGAGTATTTACTCAATAGGTATAGGCAGAGTTCCCAGTATCTCTAAAAGTTGAAGTAATGTGTGAGTAAATTAATAGGTAATCTATTAAAAGAGAAAATTACCCATTTTCACATGTCATTTGCATATTTGATCATGAACCTACCTACACCCACACTTGTTTGCATTCCATGGAATGCAGAAATTCATAAGGACTCAAAAAGGTAGTCAGATGAAGCAAAGCTAAGCCATTCTAAAGATGATTCATTAAAGGAAGAGGAACAGTGGGCAGAACCCATAACCTAGCAAAAAGCCTTCCCTCCAACATCTATTCCAGAACCAGACCATCAAAAGGCATCCACTTAAGTTCAAAAGTGCAAATAATCCCAGGAACCGTTAAATACCTTTTTAAATAATTTAATGTGAATTAGTGTAATTGAATGTCTGTATAAATGAAATGAATTGCATTCTGAATCTGGGTGTTAGTTGAAATTAGCTCTGAAAGGGAGGGGCCATTTGGAACTTAAGGCATTAGAGCGGTGGTAGGGTACCTGGATCCAGTATCCCAATGGAGGGCCTTGGGAGAGATGAATACTGTATAAGTGTTCAGAAAATGAAAAAAATGGAAAGGGATCAGGGGAAAGAAATTAGATAGAATAGATGTACAAAAATTTCTCTCTTTTAAAAAACAGTGAAAGCTTCCCCTCCAAGTTTTTTGACTTATAGACTCAGGGTCCCCAATACTCAAGGTTTAAAATGATCCCTAGATACCAAGACTAGAGTAGAACACTGAGATTTCAGTCTCTCATTCTCCCATTACCCCAACGACCTCATGGCCATCCTTCTGATGCTCAGTCTTTCTCACCACATACAAGAGTGAAGGCAAAAAGAAGTGGAGGTGCTGACATGCACAGGCACCTGCTAGAGTTAGACACCCACTTGCTATTGACCTTCTCTCCCCCTTAGCAACTATTCCCACTTATTATTTTGGTTCATTGTTATCCTCCCAGACTTCACCGTTCACTTTATTTGATAAAATAACTTTATCTTCCTCCATTCCAAGATGTTAAACTCCTATGGCACCAGATTAAAGTGAGGAGAAAACAACTTATTCAAAATAATTGAGCAGTAGGCACATGTTGTTATATTTCTTCATAGCCTAAGACATTTATTCTCTCAGCTCAGGAGTTCACTTTCAAGTCTTCTGCCTGCTAGGAAAGAAAAAAAAAAAAAGATAAAGCTTCACCAAGATTTGCAGCCACCAGGAGAATAGAAATGTAATGGTTATTGGAGCTTGTGGGGGCTAGTATGCCCCATGACATTAGCTTCCTTCAAGGCTGATTATAGCATCACTCCAGCTTCCATTCCACCTCCCTACCCCCTGCTAACACACATACATAAATCACAACTTTTTCTTAAGCTTTCACCTATTCAATCATATAAGTAGCCTTGAAAATAAATTAATATGCTGATTTACCAGGGGTATAAAAGAAATCAAGTATGAAATAATCATAGATCTACAGATAGGTGAGCAAATGTGTGTCTGGGGTATGTGTGTGGTAGGTGTCATGGAAGATGTTGTGTATGTTTGTTGTTTTGTTCACTTAACAGAAACATTAAGTGAATACAGGAAAGTAAATTTGAATCCTGGGAAAGAAAGGAACTCTAAAAAAAATGGGAGCAAGATAAATTAAATTTGATAAGCCAAACAGATTTTTTCAGCTTTAATGATTTTGTAAAATCATAAAAGGCTGCTATAATATTTTTGTCTTTCACAGCCTCTACATTCAAATACATAATGCAGGATATAAACCTATCAAAAGAAGTTCAGTTCCTATTTCCATCTTTAAAGAATGCAAATGATAGGATTGTCATTTCTATTTTATCTCATGTTTATTATTTATTGCTAAAGAGCTTAAGCAAAAAATAGAAAGATAGTGAGTGGTTTAGGGATTGAGAGAGGGAAGAATTTAATTTGTCTTGAATGCCAATGGTATGCCAGTTACTGCATTTGTATATTTCATGCCTGATATCCTTTATCCTAGAATTATTAGGCTGATAAAGAGCATGAATGTACTAGCAATAACAATCTGGATGTGACATTAGCCATGAAAACCTTTATGAGTCTATCATTTAACATCCAGGGCAGGTCCTGTGTGGCTAATTAACAACTGAGGTCATTCTGACACTGTGTGGGCAAGCACCTTCTCACAGCTCATCGGGATTATTCTAGGTCACATATGTCTTTCATACCATGCATTAAATCTTTGCAAGAGCACATAATTTCCACCTTTGAAATCTTCACATTTATTTAAGATAAACACAGTATCAATGTTTCTCTCAAAGGTAGACAATCTTAAACCTGCTCCAATCTTATTCTCGTGTCTTCTACTATTTTGGAAAATTTTTACGGTTTTCTTGTTATGTGATATTAGATATCAAATTCTAAACTTAATCATACAGAGTACAAAAGGAGGCTAGAATAGCTGAGTTTATGTTAAGACATTGAGCATAGTGGAGCATTAAAGGAATAAAATGTGACAGACATGTAGATACTGGGTATAGCAAAAAAAGAGATACAGGAATATTCAAATGGTTTAAATCAAGGAAAAAAAAAAAACCCTTAACTCAACAAATTAGGATTATTTTTCCCAATGCAAAGTCATGACCCAATGTCATCTTTCAACTAAATTGTAGAGATATGCAAAAAAGTGTATTTGAACTTGATGAAATGATAGATGGGAAATTGGAGAAATCATGGGAATAAGATGAGGCTTTCCTTCAGTTTCTTTAATGTCAATGTGGTGCTTTACTTTTTCATGCCAGTTCATGCTAGATAGAGAAAATGGTGGAAAATAAAATGAGATTTAGAGATGCAGCTAGGACTAATTATAGTACTGAGAATGGCACTACTAGTAATAGCAGAAAGATCTGTGTACACTGGAAAGACAGTCTAATATTGCAAAGTCAAAGTGAGTGAAGGAGAGGAGAGAAATGCAGTCATCCCAAAGATGGTGATTTGGTAGCTCTGCCAAGGAAGTTTTTATTTTATTTTATTTCATTTTTTTCTTAGACTTTGGAGAAGATGGGGGGGTGAGAAACAGTTGGGAAAAATGCCCTCTTTAGATGATGGACTCGTAGAGTTGGGAGGGATGTGAAAGAAATCAGTTTTCTAAGTTATGACACTGCAATGCTGGCGTTCTCTCTCAAGGAACATTGACAAATGGCCAGCTCCTACCTGGGCACTTCCAGGGACTGTCACAAGTTATAGTTATTAGAAAGGTCCCTCCACAAACTGAGTTACAATTTTTCTTCCTTTTACTTCCCACTATTAATCTTCATTCTGCCTTATGGAGCTACATAGAATAATCACAATCCTTCTTTTTGAGGGGAACAAACTGAACAACCTTGGAGAGAGAAGTCAGGGCAAAATAGCAAAGTGATGGTTCTGTCAGCTATGAGAAAGGATTGTGAAGTGATTTTTCAGGTTGGCCTAACTTTGAAAGGGAGAACTGGGAAAGACACCCAATAGAAAGAGAGGAAGCTGAAGTCTTAGTCAATTTCCAAATGAAGAGAAATTATAACAAAACACATGAAAAAGGAAGCTATAGATAACTTTTGGATATTTTTTAAAAGGATAAAAAATTACGTACAACCCAATTGAAGAAATAGGACAACACATAATGAGCATAATGAATATGATGCATTGAAGCTAAAATCAAGCTATCATTGTCATGATTCATGTGATAAATGGTCTACTTTTAAGTTTCAGAGTGTAAGAAAATTTTCTAACTGCATTGAACGTCATTCTGTGGGAGAAAACAACTGAAAAGAAATTAGGCAGCACTGTTACTTCCAGGAAAAGGGTAAACCACGGTGGCCCATGTGATAGCATGAAATTCATGACTTTGTATAGAGTCCCCTGTTCCTTGAGGATAGGTGGGACCAGTCACTTTATTACAATCTATAGAATACAGCAAAGGTAATGGGATGCACATCATTGCATTATATAATATTTTAATGTCTTTTTTGCTAGAAGACTCTTTTACCTTGCTGGCTTTGAAGAAGCAAGCTGCCATGTTGTGAACTGAATTTGGACAGCTATGGAGCAAAAATGTCACAATGACCTTTTGCCTCCAGTCAGCAAGAAATTGAGATCTTCAGCCTAGCAGTCCACAAGCAACTGAACATCTACAACCATATAAGCCAACAAGTGGATCCATTCCAAGATGAGTCTCAGATGAGACCACAGCCCAACTGATACCTTAATTGCTACCTTGTAGATAATCCAGCTAAAACACATCTGGAGTCCTAATCCACAGAATCTGTGAGATAAAAAAAGGATGTTGTTTTAGGTGATAAATTTGTTGTAACCATAAGTAAATAATACAGCCAGCTTGACACTCTTCAGATGAAAGAGGCACAGGAAAACTAGATAATTCTAGGAAACTAAACTATAACTGTGCCAGACAGACAATTATACCATATTCTAGCCTTGTTTGGTCTAGACTTTTATAGGAGTTTTTAGATAGATATTTACTACTGATATGACTGACTTATAAATGCATCCTTGTATTCATTTACCACATAGAATTTACCCATTTATAAAAGTTCCCTCTAAGAAGGTGAGATACAATGAATAATCTTGGGTAAACTTAGATAATTTTCCAACAGAGCAGAAGCATGAATGCTTAAAAAAAAGTCAGAAGCCTAGCTACTGGGTGTTTTTCATTACTAAATATAGAAGAAGAGAACAAGTAACAATAGTGAAAAAAATAAAAATTCCAAGTTGTCTAATTTTGATTAGAATAGCTTAATAGTGAGAATTTTCAAGAGTTTATAAATGTGCTTTGACAACACATATATACATTGTACAATTAAAATGTGTGAACAATAAACTCAAAACTGTAAAATACTTGGGAATTACTCTAACCAAGGGGTGAAAGATCTCTACCGTGAAAACTATGGAATACTGAAGAAAGGAATTGATGAAATTCAAAGATGGAAAGACCTTCTATGTTCTTAGATAGGCAGAATTAATATTGTCAAATGGCCATATTACCAAAAGCATTATACAGATTTAATGTAATCCTCATTCAAAGCCAGCCTCAGCAACTTAGCAAGGCCCTAAACAACTTAGTGATATCCTGTCTCTAAATAAAAATATAAAAAATATCTGGGAATGTGGCTTAGGGTCAAGTTCCCCTGAGTTCAATCTCTGGTACAAACAATAACAACAACAACAACAAAGCCACCATGACATCCTTACAGAACTAGAAAAAATAAAAATTGTCCTAAAATGCATTTTGAAGAATAAGAGACCCAGAATTCTAAACAAGAAGATATCTGATTTCAAATTATACTACAGAGCTGCAGCAACAAAACCAGTATGATATAGACATCATAACAGACATAAGACCAATGAAATAGACTAGAAGACACACAAACCCACATTCTCACAATTATCTGATGCTTGACAAAAGTGCTAAAAGTATATGGTGGAGAAAATATATACTTTTTAACCAATGGTGCTGGGAAAACTGGATATCTATATGTAGAAGAATGAAATTAGTTCTCTATCTCTCATCCTGCATAAAAGTCAAATCAAAGTGGATCAATGACGTAAGAATTTTATTAGAAAATTTGCAACTACTAGAAGAAAAAAATAGGATCAACACTCCATTATATTGGTAGAGGCACCAACTTTCTTAATAAGACCCATAACACCCAAGAAGTAAAACCAAGAATCAGTAAGCAGGACCACATTAAATTAAAAAGCTTCTGGACTATAAAAAATAGTGATTATGAGTATAAACAGAAAACCTACAGAATGGAAAAAAATCTTTGCCAACTACTTCTCTCACAAGGATAATATCTAGAATATATAAAAAATTTGAAAATCTCAACACCAAAAAAACAAAATAAGCCAATCAATAAATGGGCAAAAGAATTAAACAGATATTTTTCAAAGGAAGAAATACAAAAGGCCAACAAACATATGAAAAAATATTCAACATCCCTAGCAATCAGGGAAATACAAATCAAAACTACACTGAAATTTCATGTCATTCCAGTCAGAATAGCAATGATTATACAAACAATAATAAATGCTGGTGAGGATGTGGGGAAAATGTATATTCCTATATTGTTGTTGGGACTGAAAATTAGTACAACCACTCTGGAAAGTAGCATGAAGATTCCTCAAAAAACT